CTCATTGCTCTCTATAACTTCCTGAAGGGAGGCTGCAGGGAGCTGGGGGTCGGCCTCTGCTCTGTGTCATCAGTGATGGGAGCAGAGGGAACGGCTTCAAGCTGCGGCAGGGGAGATTGGATGGACATGAGGAAGTGTTACTGTTCAGAAAGGTGGGCAGCACTGCGATGGATGCCCAGGGAGGTGGGGGAGGCACCGAGCCTGGGGGTGTTCAAGGAAAGGCTGGATGCTGTGTTGAGGGCCGTGGTTCAGTGGGAGCTGTTGGGAATGGGGGAACGGTTGGACTGGATGAGCTTGGAGGTCTTTTCCAACCTTGGTGATTCGATGATTCTATGAGTTGGGAAGGCTGGTGCTGGTCCCTGTGGGCAGGAGGTATCACAGAGCATCCATCCACGTGCACTGCGTGGGGCTGCATCCGCAGAGCGGTGCTGAGCTCCAAGTTGTGCACGTGGAGGCTGTGCCTGCTCTTACCAAGAGGCTGTCAGTCAGCTGCCTAATAAATCTCGTGGAAAGCAGCGGAGCAACGGGGCTCCCTGGAGCTACAGAAGGAAATGATTTAATTGCCTCTTTAATAGGGAAAGGGGGTTGCCTGCGTGCTGCGACTGGATGCTTTGAATAGGCTGATTTGTACTGGGAAAGATTCTTGGGATTCAAGCGCATTGCCAGAGGCTCTGGAGAGGCTCACGGAGCATCGCTTTGTTTTGACGTGTCACAGAGGTGTTAATTGAGCGTGAGAGCCAGGAAAATAGTGAAGCCTCCCTGAGAGTGAACCGGTCTCTCCAAGGCTCAGCAAAGCCTTCAGCAGCACTCAGAGCAGCGCTGGGCTGAGGATTTATGGAGGTTTCAGAAGCCATCCTGCTCCTTCCAGGCTGAGCGGGGAAAGCTTTTGTTTTCCTTGGCAAAGCGATGAACCCAACAGCGCCAAACAAAGATGCTGAGAACATGACAAATGCTTTCGTGGCATCGCTGTGGTTTATTTTCTGCATCTTGGAGTTGTTGAAGGATGTCGGTCTCCAAACGTTGCAGACTTGAAACCCTCTGTGCTGAGATGTCCCCTCTGCTGCCTGGGCAGGGCTCGGATCTCCCCCAAGTGTCTTTGTTCCCCCCAAAGTCGGAGCCTTCCTGGCACAGAGGGAAGTTCCTCACCCTGGGACCCTGGGCTGGACGAATTCCTGCTCTGTCTTTTAGGTGTAAATGCGTTCAGTGCAAGGTGTGAAGGATCCGACCCCACCACGTGCAGCCCACGGGCTCCCATTCCCTTGCAATCTCCTGTTTTCCCCCCAGCTTCAGGACCGCTGCCTTCAGCACGCCGCGTTTTGCATGCATGCAAAGCCACAGACCGTTCCTGCAAAGGTTCTTCTATCCTGGGCTTCTGTATTTCTGGCTCTTTGCAGTGACTGAGCGTGGGGCAGCCGAAGCCATGGCTGCTGAGCTGTGTCCCTCAGTGAGGTTTGTGCTCCGGCTCCTTTGCTTCGCAGCTGATGCAGAAACGTGCTGTCAGAAGGCAGCTGGGAAGGAAACCTGCTGCTGTGCAGATGACTCAGGCTGTCGGTGGGAGCAGTCCTTCTCCAGGGCCTTTTTCCCCTCTGCCAAGTCTGGAGGAGCTGTGAATCGTGGGTTTTGCAACGGCGAGTTGGCAGGAGAAAAAGGAAAGTGACAAAGCATGAGAAAATACTTCAGCAGAACGCTGCCTGTCAGAGGGGTCACGGGGGGGGCTCAGAAGTGACTGTGGTGACACTGAGCCCGAAGGAGGGTCCTTTGCTTTTAAGGAGGAGGAAAAGGAGCAGATGCTGTGCGTGTGCTTCCCAGTAGAACAGGTGAATCCAGCACCCGCAGCAGAGGTCCCAGCTCTGACCTGTGCCTTTGCACGGCTTCCTTCCAGCTGGGTTATATTTGAAGAGCACCGAACCCCTCCTGAAGCGCTTTGTGCAGACGATCCGCTCCCTGCAGATGCCTTCAGCCCCCTCCAGTCCCTCTCAGCCTCCCTGCTGCTCCCTCTGAACACCCTGGGGTTCACATTGCACCCGCAGCAGCACAGGGCCGTGCAGTGGAAGGATGCTTCCATGGCGTCGGTTGCACGCAGGTGAGCCGTCGGTGCTGCTGTGACTCAGCCCAGGGGTGAGACAGGGAGCGGTGGGGCGGGCAGCCCCCGGTCAGCCTTGCCACATCCTCCCTGCCCATATCTGTGGAATCCATCCCAGCCCTGTCCCAAATAACAGGGATCTGTTGCAGCCCTGTCCCAAATAACTCGTTGCTTAGTAGGAGGCCGACACGGAGCTGGGAGCTGCGGCGCTTGGCCACCCGGTGCTCCTCTCCCTGTTCGTGTCTCCACAGCTGAGCTTTTCCCACATCTTCTGAGCTCGGCTGTGCGCTGCTTCTTCCCCCCGGTGTCACCTGGCTGCATCCCAGGGGGGAGAGCCGCCGAGTGCAGCCCTCTTGGAGCTGCAGAACTGTGCACAAAGCAGCAAAAAGCAGCGCTGGAAACATGACGGCTCCTGCCCTGCTGAGAGAGCTGGGCTGGCTCAGCATGGAGAAAAGAAGGCTGGGGGTTGAGCTCAGTGCAGCCTTCAGTGCCTGAAGGGAGCCGACAAACAGGAGGGGAGTCAGCTTTGTGAAAGGGGAGATGAGAGCAGGACGAGGGGAAATGGTTGGAAGTTGAGGGAGGGCAGATGGAGGCTGGATGTCAGGGCAGTTCTGTGCTGTGAGAGCGGTGAGGGGCTGAACAGCTGCCCAGAGAGGCTGCGATGCCCCGTCCATCCCTGGAGGTGTTGGAGGCCAGGCTGGATGGAGCCCTGGGCAGCCTGAAATGTGGAGGTTGGTGGCCCTGCATGGCACAGGGGGGTTGGAGCTCCGTGATCCTTGAGCTCCCTTCCAACCCAACCGTGCTGTGACTCTGTGAAACCTGCAGCTCAGCACAGCGCAGCTGTTTTGGGGCCGAGCCCTGGGCTCTGCTGGGACAGAACCTGCCGTCGTTTTGCTGTAACCAGCTGCAAAATGAGTTTGACCTTTCAGGTGCCCGCTTGGAAGAAGTCGGCGCTTTTACAACAAATGATTTTGCTCCTTCCAGGAGGCGAAGGCTAAATGTCACGTTTGATGAATGAGCGACCTTTCACGGGGGTGGAGGGAAACTCCTCCATGCGCTCCACCCCACACCGACGTCATTTCCATGATGGGGCTGAGTAACGTTTTCCAAGAAGTCAGAGATGGCAGCTTAGAGCTGCATCCCGTGGGGAAATGCCTGGCGTTGCTGCTGATCTCATTGCTGCCTGCTCTCCTTTAGCTGAGAGCTGGCCAGGGATGTGGGGGAGCTCCGTGATGGTGATTTTGTGGCCATCAGCGCCTCTTTTCCCCACCCTGGAGGTGTCAGCATCCACGTGCGTGGCCCTGGGAAGGGCTGGCAGAGCGAGGAGCGGCACTGAGTGCTGGGGAAGCATCCAGGGATGCCTGGGGATATTTGCAGGCTGCGCTGTTTTGTGGTGCCCAAGTTTGCGCTCTGAGTTTGTGCTGTGATGAGGACAAACCTAAACCCCCCTCCCTGCTGTAAGACAGCAGAACTTCAGGAAGGCAAAGCATCTTAAAGCCTCCTCTTGGCTCTGCCCTGGTCTTTTGTCAGCCCGGTGCCGTTGTGATGCTTCCCCTTCTGCAGGCTGAAAGAGCAAAGTGATGCCAAGCGGGAGCAAAATCCCCATCCTCAGCTCTCATCGTTGACATGGATGCCATTGACATTGAGGAGTCGTGCTCCGCTGTTGTGATGCCCCACGTTTATAGCAGCCGTTTGGCTCTGCTTTGCGCCATCGCACAGCGCCGGACGCCTGACGGGCAGAATGGTGGGATGGAGATTGATGGGGAAACATCCCCGGGGTGAACGGCACGCGTCGTGCTTCCCTCGCTGTGTCCTTTCCTCCCTGTGCCCTTGCAATGCATTCCCTGCTCCCTTAGCGACGTGTCCGCATGCAGAGCTGTGACATCTCCCGGCGCTGTGCCGTGTGGGGCAGTTCTTTGTGCCCCCGTGGGGTGCAGAGGGGGCTGTGGGGTGGGTGCTCTCCCTTGGGCCGTCTCACTGCACGCTGTGCTTCCTTGCAGGTGTCTCCATGTCTCAGCTCTGCAGCTCCTGGGACTTAGACCAGCAAAGCATGGCGTATCTCCCCGATGCAGGTAACCCCACCTGCAGGATCCTCCTCCTGTTTTTTTTTCTCTCTCTCTCTCCAAGCTTAGCAGATTAGAACTCTTCTCTGAAGGCTCTCAGAGCGTTGTTTGTGCTGAGCTACCATTAAGGCGGGTGTGAAACCAAGGACTGAAAGCTCCTGGAGCAGCTCTGGGCTCCAGGTGCCCCATGGCCATTCCCCCATGTGTGTGCAAGCTGTGCAGAACCACTGCACCTCAATGGGGCTGAGAGGAGCCTGGGCTGCCCTGGGATCAAGCCATAGCAGTTGGGTACACTCATACTGAGCCTTAAATTGAAGAGCTGTGCTCTTAGTTCTCGATTCCTTTGGGGTTTTTTAACTCACTTTTGTGCCAGATTTCGTTGTCTGATGGTGTTTTATGCAGGAAATCCCCAGCATCAGCTGAGAGGCTCAAGAAAGCGGCGTGGAGCCAAAGAGGCAGCAGCTGTTTGTGGTGCCTCTCGAGAAAGCATTGAATGGCCTTTAAAATAAAGAAATAGTTTTAAGAAATGGGAGGGGAGGAAAGGAGGGAAAAAGGAAATGGGAAGAAAGGGAAAAGGCAAAGAAAAAAAACGGGGAAAAGGAGAAAAGAAGCAGCCAGGAAAACAAACAGCCCGTGCCAAGCTCCGTTCCGGCGTTCCTTTCAGGTTCACATGCTCTGCACTGGGAGCCCCATTTCCTTCCTGCCTTCTTTCTGCCCCTTTGAGGGTTTGTGGAACAATGCTCGTTGGATTTGTGTTTGGGATTTGTCTGACTTACGGGAGCTGCTGCAGTGCTGGCGCTGCTTCCCGTCTGCATGGGGGAAATTCTGCTCCGGCTGTGACCTCTTCCCCTGCGGTTTTGCATCTCTGCTTTGGGTGAATTTGGCCTCTTTCAAGGCTCGTTTTTTGGGAGCCAAGTGCGAAGGAGTGGAGGAGAAAGGATCGGGGTTTGGAAGTGGGCTGTTGGGGTCTGACTGCTGAAGTGCAGCAAATGAACGTGAGCACGTTGTGCTGTGGGGGTCGGTCCTGCCCTCACCGGGCAGATCCACAAACATGAGCTGTGATCCTGCTTGGTGGTGCTGTCATCACGTAGAGCCAGAGGAACACAGAAGCTTTTCTTGTCACATTGAATGCAAGCAAAAAAAAAAAAACCCAAAACCAACACCTTTATTTGCATCTGATTTGCTTCTTGTAAAGCTGTGACAGCTGCCACAAACGCTGCTTTCCTCTGCCCCTCCAGAGATGGAAACCATGGCTGCCAGCACATCCCTCCCCGACCCGGCCGCTGAGTTTGATCGCAACGTGCCCCGAATCTGTGGGGTGTGTGGGGACAGAGCCACCGGCTTCCACTTCAACGCCATGACCTGCGAGGGCTGCAAGGGCTTCTTCAGGTGAGCTGAGCAGAGATTCCCACCCCACATGCTGACTGCTGCTGGTGCTCAAGGTGCAGCCCTGCAAGGCTTTGCGTTGCAGGCAGCCAATGTGTCCTCAATAATTCAGACCCCACAAGGTGTTTCCCCTGTATTTCCCTTCTTGTGGCTACCAGGGGCTGTCAGCCATCTGTTAGGAGCCTTGCAGACTTCACATGCTGCATAGATAGGAGCATGCCAGCCTCTAGCGTGAGCCTGGGCTGGGAAGAGCAGACCCAGAGCCGGCGGTCTGGGAGTTTGAACAGCTGTAGTTTTTGTTTGCAGCTGATTTGAGGCTTTTTTCAGCCGCCAGGTGAGTGTCTCCTAGTCTGCAGCTGCTCCTAACGAAGGCAAAACCGTCCGAGGGCCTGATGAGCTGTGAGTTGGTGGGTGTTTTAGTGGCTCGCTTGCCCTGACGGTGTCAAACCATTCACGTGGGAATTCAGGTCGCTTGCACCAAGTGAGAGAATGACTAAGAGAGACGAGGAGAGATAATGGCTGGCGTGGGACTGGCAGGGAGAGCCTTGCTCAAGCACCGTGTGCTGCAATGAGATGGAGGCAGTGGGCTGCAGACACCAGAGCACAGCGCTGTGTGTTCAGCAGGGCTGTGACAGCAACCGGGGCACAGGTTTGCAGAGCGAAGTCACAGCTCCTCCCCTGGCAGGAATTTTGGGGCTAGATGGAGGTTTTCCCACACCGCAGCCTGGCCAACCTGAGCAACGACATTTTCCTCAATTCCTGCTGCTCAGTCAGTAACTCTGCTTTCAGGTGCTGCCCTTCACGCTCTGGTTTGGTGGCCCCAAGCTTCCCTGTCCCCTCCGTGCCTGCGGTGGCCGTGGGGTGGATGGGGCTGGTCCTAAACTGGCTGCAGGGCAGCTGCTAACGCTGTCAGCCCTCCTCTGCACTCTGCTGCTTCCCCATCTCTGCTGGTGCAATCATGTACGACACGCAGCTGCAGCAGCATTTCTGAGCAGATGTTTTAATGGTGTGAAAAGCACTCATCGTCAGCTAGCCCTTCATGCCCCCTAGAAGGCCTTGATTTTCAATTTAAGGCTCTGCTTTTCCTTCATCTTGCTTTCCAGGCACGCCGTCCCCATGCTGGGTCTTGGTGTGTTCTTTCTTGCCCAACCAGGCTTGTTTACAAGCTATTTAGAACCGGTGAATTGAGTAATCCTTGTTGCTACCACAATATGCAGGTGCTTTCTGCCTGAAAACACCGCAGCACTGCTATGGGGGAAGCTGGACCCCTTAAAACTCACCCAGAAAATCTACGCCTCCCTTTGCACAGACCACAAACACTTTGTTCCTATGTGCACTTGCTGGTTTTAGCTCCCTGAGCAGGTTTATGAAGAGCCACTGCACAGATACCAATTCCTGGTGGCTGCCTTGCAAGTCAGAATTGAGCCTGGAAGGAACAGAGGGGGCGAGGGGATTCCAGGCTGCAGTGGCAAAACCTGGGGTGAAGGAACTTCCCGGTCGGTCCCAGCTGCTTTGGGTCGTATCTGTGTGGACGATTCCCCAGCATGAAATCAGGACCTGGGTTTCATGGCTCTATAAAAGGCATTAGGAATTTACTGGCACCTCTGGGTGCTCAAACGTGCACGTAAGCTGCAGCACAAACAGCCCTGAGGCAACCTTTGGCCGCTGGCTTCAAAGTCCGCTGTTTATTAATGATGCCAACGGCAACAGTGGCCTTTTATTGAGCTCTGCTGTTTGCTCAGGGGCTCTTAAAATGCATCTAAGCCAGAGTGATTTATTCTGCTGCGACTTGGCTGAAGCATCTGCAGTTTCTCTGGTTTATTCTGAAGTTCCAGCGCAGTGACACTGGGTGTTCATAGCAGAGCTGCTCGGAAAGGCTCTGCGTGTTTCAAAACCCAGCAGCTCCCCACCCATCCTGTCTGCATCACCGTTTCTCCCACTCCTGTAATCCTCCCCGGTTGGTCTTTGCCCTGTTCCCCGTGGAAGTGGGAGATGAATTCCTCTTTTCTTTTGAAATAAATCCCCGGGGCCGTGAGCCGTTCAGCTTCCAGTCTCCATCCTGCTGTGTTGTCCTCCTGTTCCTGTTGCTGGAAGGAGGCAACCTGCGAGCTGCTGCTTGGGTTGTGAGTGGTGCTGAGTTGGCGGCGGTGATGGGTTGATGGTTGGACTGGTGGATCTTAGTGGCCTTTTCCAGCCTTTATGACTCTATGCATGGGAGAAAGGAGGCTGAAATCCACGTAATGCAGAGTCCAGGAGTGATCCCAGACCTTGGGGGTTGTGCATCCAGCAGGAGATGTGCACCTGGCCGAGGTGAGAATGGTTTGGATGCGCCAAAATGCTGGTTTAAGTGGTAGAAAGTGAGCAGCAGAAACCAGGCACAGCAGCCTTACTCCTCAGCTTGCTTCGAGGCCTCATCCTAAAGCCTGTTGCCCAACAAAAATGTTCCAAGGGGTCTCCAAAGATAGGTTGGGATAAGAGGTGGCTGACGGCTCTCAGAGGGATTTGGGGGAGAAAATGAGAATGGTGCCAGAGGGCCAAAGCTGTTGGACTTGCTGTTGATGCTGGGCTTCCCTGGGGGCTGTGGAGGAAGCGAGGAAGCGAGGAAGAAATAAGAATTATCCAACCCGAAAGTGTGACAGCTTCACCCTGTTTCGTGGGTAAAGGCAGTGCCAAAATGAACCCCAGCGGTGCTTACAGGGCTGGCGACTGAAATGTGGAGTCGGGAAGGCTGCAGTGGGGTTTGGTGAGGAGCAGGGCTGCTTTTGGGACCTGCAGCATCACGTGGGCTCCGTCAGTGTGAGAGCCGTGTGCGCTGAGATCCCACTTCACTCGCACAAAGATCAGCGCCGTGGGGCTCAGCGCAGCTCTGCCCATCCCTGTGGGTTGGGAGTCCCATAGGCAGGCTTTGCAGCCTCCATCCCTCCTTCTGCAGGCACCCAGCCACAATTTGGGGCAACGCTGATGGAAATTCTCTCCCCGTTTCCCCATCACAGCACGGGCAGAGCTTGGGGTGATCCGGGTGACCCCAAACTCGCTGCAGCCTTCCTTCCCCATTCCTGGCTGAGGCTTTGTTTACTGCCGCCAGCTCAGTGCAGGGAGGGAAGGTTATATTTAACATCCTGCCTGGGACGGGGCTGTAAATGAGCCCTGAAATGGCCACTTGTGGGGCTGTACAAAAATACACCGGAGCCAGACGGCTGCGCTCGCTCTGCTGATGCAAGGCTGGGCGCTGCGGGGCCGCCGACCCCAGGGCAGGGAAACGCTGCTCAGAAACCCTCCGTTGTGCCCCGCCGCCCTGGGTTCAAATAAGCTGCAATTTTCATTCCAAAACCATAATGTTGGCTTGCACACGGTGCAGCTTTCCCCGCTCCAGGGCCTCGCGTTCCTCTTGTTTGTGCCCTCCCCAGCCTTGCCCTGGGCTGTGGGGCTCCAGATACCCAAAAATTACAAAGATTTGTTCACCGAAACTGGGGGATTGAGGGGTGTTTGGTTGCAAACCCTGCTTTGCCCCTGGGCTGGGCAGCGTTTGTCCTCGTTCCTGGAACGATGCTGGTTTTAGCAGAAGGGGAAAACCCAGAGAAAAGCGGTCAAACCAAAACCCAGCTGTAAGGCAGAACGCAGAGTCAGGGCTGCGGAGGCAGGTGCTGGAGGCTCCGCCATCAGCTTCTCCTGAATTCATTTCCCCAGATGCGTTTACACATCTGTGAGGTGAGAGGAGGGTGAAACCTGGCTGTTTGCATCTCCGTTTGGAAAGCAGCCTCTAATTGCACCCTCACGGGTCTGCAGCCCAGGAACACCAAGTGTATTTATACCCTAGAGGCACAGCCCTGGCGCTGCTCCTGGGCTGGAGATCCCTGTCCTGTGCCCACGGAGCTCAGGACCGCGTCCACTTGGCATTGCAAGAGCATTTTATCACTGCTCCTCCTTGCAGGACTCCATTTGGGGGCGTTAATTTCAGGCGGTTTGGTCTCTCACTGTTGTACTCCAGCTGTGTCTCGGTGCTGCTCTCTTTCCGTGTGCTTTTCTGCTGCGTTTGCCCTTCTGATCACTTCATTTCCAGCCCGGGGGTTCGGTTTGCCTCCATTCAAACTCACATCTTCATTTAAAATGAGTGCTGTGTGTAGAAATGCACGTAAAGATAAGCCTTGCTCGCCGATGGAAGATCATCGAGTCACTTTCTCCAAAGCAGAGATGTGGCATCGCCGAAACCACCCTGAATGGCCAAACTCAGTTGTCCTGCAGTGTGTCATTAGTGGATATCAGGAGCTTGTAGCTGGGACCTGTGGCTTTGACCCTTTGTACTTGGAAGCTTTGCAGTCCTGATCGTAGCAGCGGATTAACGTGGCACGGTGTGGTTTTGGTGGAAAAGAGGTTATTATGTTAAGTGTTGTTTCTCTCATGTCCTGCAGTGAGGTTTTTCTCGTGCACATGCAAGCATGCACTCCAGCCAGTTATTCTAGCAAAGCCAGGCTTTAAAGGCTGGTAAATGTTTAATAACGCTGCTTTAGTACATGCTGCTCTGTCCTCTGGTTTCTCTGTCCCTGGATGGACATTTCTCTACAGTTCCACCTCCTCCTCTTGGGCTTCAAAACAACGTGAAACCAGAAAGCCGTTTCAGTGGCGTTGAGCCCGCAGGCTGCGTTCTTTTGAGGGCACCTTTTCCATGCTGTCCAGACCTGGAAGATCAAACCCAAATGTGCACGCACAGCACCTTCCAAGTTGAGCCTTTCCAAGAGCCCAGCTGAGCTGCTGGGTGTCAGGTCAATCGTTCCCTCTCAGCAGCCTTTCTCCAGCAGTTTTGCTGTCCAGACACTTGGATCCGCGCTCGCGTCTCCCCCTCCGGCTGCTTGGAGCATCCCTCGTGCACTGCAAACAGCGCTGTGTGACCCAGGGTGTGTTGTTGATTTTTTTTGTCCCCTCCTGTTCCTCTGCAGGAGAAGCATGAAGAGGAAAGCGATGTTCACCTGTCCGTTCAACGGGGACTGCAAAATCACCAAGGACAACCGGCGGCACTGCCAGGCCTGCCGGCTGAAACGCTGCGTGGACATTGGGATGATGAAGGAGTGTGAGTACGCTGGGTGTGCAGGGCTCAGCCTCGCGGCCCTGGCGCCCTTCTTCTTAAAACCTCTGTGCTCAAGGCTTTAAAACCCTCACGAGGACTCGAAGAGGATGCAAAGGGCAGGGGGACGGCGTGGGTAATGATTGCGCGGGGCTCATTTAATGGTTGAGGCGTTCGTGAGCTGGCTTTGCTGGCAGCTGCACGGTGAGCACATCCGGGGCCGTTGCTGATTAACTCACGGATGGAGCCCATTCACGTCCTGTCCTGTGCAAAGTCATCGTCCTCCCGCAGCGCGTGGCCGAGCAGGCAGGGAGAGCTGGAGAGCCTCCGAGTGCTGATGCTGTGGGATGGGGAGCCGTTCCACCTTTTGCTCTGCAATAGCTTTATTTCAGGCCCCTGCTCCTGCAGCAGGGTCCGTCCGTCCCGCCACGTGCAACGCGGAGACTTAAACAAATAGCAGAGGGAAGTAAAGCACTTTTTAACCCAATCTAAACAGGTTAATGTTGTCCAAATATTTGTGGGTTTTTTTTTTTTCGACTGTATTTATAGATAAGCAGCTTTTAAAAATAAAAGCTGCTTGGCACGTTTCCTCCTACACACGCGTGCTTTCTACGCCCCGAGACTTCAGGAGTTTAAACCAAAATAACAGCCCTCTGCTAGGAGACTGCAAACAGGACAGCCTGTCCTATGATTGATGGGCTTGAAAATTCAGAGCTGGCTTGGCAAATGGAAGTGCTGAACGTTTCCTTATGTGCCGAGCGGAGAACAAACAGCGCCCGGTGGCACGGGGTGCAGATCTGCAAACCAGAACTTGCAAAGAACTTGAAGAAAAAAAATGCCTAAACGTTCAGGAGCCCCGGAGATCAAACAGATCTTGAGGAATAGGAGGCCCCCAAATCGTGTAAAGTGCCAGCTGTGCTCTGTAGGGGGGTAGGAAAGCAAAGAGCAGGCAATGCACCAGGTGAATCCTTCTCTCGTGAGAGCACAGGGATGGGGAAGCAAACCGGAGCAGGTCTGCATCCCATGTTCTGCCCTGCAGAAACAGCTGCTCCCTTTGGCTTAATGCTTGGACACGGCAAAGAGCCAGAGCTGCTCCCTGTAGTCGGCCGAGCAGTGTGGGAAGCACTGCACAAAGCACAGTTTCGGTGTTCTGCTGCTTTGGCATTTGTTGTCACACCTGATTTCTTGGTTGGCACAGCACCGTTAGGCACTTTCTGCTCCCGAACCCGGCTCTGAGGTGTTCCCAGAGCAGCAGGAGAGCCGTCCTCGTTGATGGCATGTTTACACTATGGATCTTATCTCACTCAAAGGGAGGAAAAGCGCTGAGCTGATTGAAAAGGAGAGCGCTGAAATGCCCCAGCGCACGAGGCTGCCTGGCTGGGAGCCTCCAGCCCTGGTTACTGCAGTTTGTTTGGCATCGCCGTTGCCAACAAGGGAAATGTGTTGACTTGTAGCAGTCAATTACCCACGGAGGGTCAGAAAATGCACTGAGGGATTCGCCTGCCCGCCTCGGGGTTAACTTGTAAGCGACCCCCCTTAGCAAACGGATTCTGTATTAATGAAACCTAACCGAGGAGCCTAAAAATAGCCTTCCTGCAGCCTCTGCTGCTGCTTCAGTGAATGGGAACAAGGTGTGCTGCTGTTATTTTTAGGTGGCATCGTGGATCTTTGAACTCTTGGGGTGGGCTCGTGTCTTCCCCGGGCTGCGGTTGCTGGCACGGGTAGGGATGGGCTTGGTTTGATGGGTCCGAAGCAGAAATTAGAGCAAAACTGGATAAGGAGGAGGAGGCAGATGTGGACGCTCTTTGTGCTTGCGTTAATTTGAGGTCTGGTGCAGGCAGCTCCGTCTCCTCCTCCTGTCCTAAATCTTGGGTGGCTTTCACCGTTGCCCCCAGGCTCCAGGCTCGGTGCTGCAGTGAGGGGCTCTCAAGAAGGTGAAGGCTTTGTGTGTGTTGAAAATGGCACAGAGCAGAAGCCCTGCCCTGCTGCGCTCCCTGGGGAGCTGAGGACAGCCGCTGTCCCCACGAGGGACCAAGGAAGGGATGAGTTGCAGCCATAGGAACACGCTGAGCCCAGCAGTGAGGGTCAGGGCCGGGGGCTGATCCACAGCTGCAATCTGCCAGCAGCGTTAGCAAATATTTGTGGTTTTCCACCCATCTTATCTGCGTGGGGTAAAGCACAGGGCAAGCTTAGGGGACAGCGTCAGGCCACGGGCGAAGGCGAAAGCCGCGTCGTTTGGAAATGTTTTCGGGCTGTTTCCCTTCAGATGGCCCAAGCAATGCTGAGCTCATTCCTTCCATCCCGCAAAATTGCCTCCCGCCAGCTGCGTGGTGCTCCAGAAGGGGCACCCATCCCTCCAGGGCCGTGCGTTACCTGTGGGTAATTCACCTCTCTTGGCCTCGCTGCCCTCTCTTTCCCTTGCTTTTATCAGCTCTGCAGTCATTACAGCACACAGGGGCAGGGGATGTGCTTCCCCTTGGCTGCCCTGTGCTGCGGTGCAAAGCAGGGAGGCAGAAAACACGGCGCTGAATTGAGCGGCCGCAGCAGCCTCGCTGCATCTCTCCCTGCTGTGCTACTGCTGGGGGATTTTGGGTGCCTGTCACGGTGCCAGGATCGAGGAGCCTCCTTGGGAGGATCCAGCTGTGCTTGCAGTGTCCTGCTGCAGTTTGTCTGCCTGTGGATGGATTGCAGAGCGTTATGCGGGAGCTGGGATGTGGGGGAAGCGAAGGCAGAGCTGTGGGAGAGGCAGTGGGGAGGAATGAGGTTTGCACCCTGTGAAGGCTGCAGCTCGTGAGAATGGCTGCAGAGCGATCCTGGGCGCTTTTGGCAATGGAGCGGGGTCACAACGCCCTGCAGAGCTCTTTGGGGATGATTCCTGCCCTGATGCCTTGTGGCACATTAAACACACACTGTGCTGCCCAGCCCTCACCCTGCGGATCACTGCACGGCTTCACTGCAGAGCTGCTGCCGCAGGGGCAGTTCTGCTTCCCCCCATCCTCAATGCCACTCCCTGGGGATGGAAAGGAACCCACGGGGCTTTCTGGGGCTGCGTGGTGTCCCCACGTCCAGCTGAAATGCTGCCTGCCAAGCTTTGATGCAGTGCCTGAGTGCCATCCAGTCTCACACTGATATTTGCTCTGTTTCGTTTCGGTTGGTGTTCGGCTGCCCTTTGCTCTCCCAATGGAGTCTCCCTCCATGCCATCCCCAGCACCTCCAGCTCCCCGCTTTGGCCGAGGCTGCGTGCTCAGATCCTCACCCACCAGCCGTGTCCTCGTGCTCTCAGTAACCTCAGAGCAGCCCTGCGGCTTTCTCCTCTGTCCCTGTGGTGTCTGCAGAGGTCCGTTCTGTGTCTGAACAGAAGTGATGTGCAGATGTTGGCTTCTCCTCCTCCTGTGCTTCGGGTCAGGGCAGCCCACAGCCATTCTGCTGCAGCTCTGTTTGTGCCAGGAGCTGTGAGCACAGCTCCAGCTCAGCTCTGGGGAAGGGAGCAGCCCTGGGATCTGATCTCAAGCTGAAGATGCAGGCTGGGGCGCGTTGGCCCCATCCATCCTTCCGTGTGCACGAAGTGAGCGCAGACGAAGCCTTTTTCCCAGGAATTTTATAAAGCCCGTCAGTTGTGCTGTTACCTTTTCTCACCCCAAAGCTTCAGCTTTGCTGCTCCCCGTTGGCTGAGCTGGTGCTGGGCTCTGTTGGGGCTCGCACAGCACCGCCTCTGTTTGCAAGATGAGCTGGAAGGGAATTGCGATTGCGTTTATCGCGTCGTTCTGATCTTTAAAACACCTTCGATCTGCCTGCGGGGCTTCCTTCGGGTTTTAGACTCCTGTAAGCTCTGGCAAGTCCCATCAGAGCGTTCAGCACCGACCCAAATCCCTGGCGGTGGTTTTGCAATGGGTTCAGAGCAACGTGCAGCCCGCACCACAGTCTGCCAGGCCTCAAAGCGCTGAAACCCCGGGACAAATAAGGAAAGATGCTCTGTTGTGCAGATCCCATACAGGGAAATCCATCTGCCTGAGGGGATTTGACCAGGGGTCGGTGCATGCGCTCTTCCTCCCATCCCAGCTCCTCTTCCTCACTTTCCTCCGTGCTGGGGTGGCTGAGGAGCCGCTGACCCCATCTCTGCTCTGTCCCCCTTCCAGCCCCACGTGGCGCTTCCCAGTGCTGCTGCATTCCTCAGTGATTTCTCCTTGCATGCAGCACCTGGATGGATCCCAAGCTTTCCTAATAGGACAGGAGATGGCGAATTCCCCGTTTCGCCCGGGCTGCCCCCTGCAGCACTGACCGTTCCGTGCTGGTCACAGGAGCGACCTTTCGGCCTCAGCCGCTCATTCAGTACCTCCAGATCTTTAAATTCCCCCCCCGAGGTTGTTGTGCAAGTTTGAAAACGTATTGGAAAAATGCTGTTGGCAAAAGGCAGCAGAAGGGGCCAAGAAGTGCAAATGGCTCCTTGAGCCCCGCTGCCTTCGTCAGCCTCTCCTTCCAGATTCCACCCGACCGCAGGAAGCCGCCTGCCATCAGATAAAACACGCTGGGCTGCTCTGCTAATAACTGGTTCTGGGGCTAATAGCTTCTCAATGAAGGGGCACTGCTATTTATAGGACCCAACAGTGGATGTGCTTTGCTGATTGGGAGCGTTAACGAGCCGTTGGGTGCAAAGGTGGGTGCTTGTTGTTGCTTTTCCAACCTTGTGAGGCTCTTCAGGTCTTTAGGTTCTTTATAAGGGTCACATTGGAGCCCAAATTGCCTTTGGATGTTCAAACATCCCTAATAAACGGGAGAAGCTTTGCTCGTCGCCTTTGGACCCGACCTTTGGCTGCTGCTGAAGGCTGTTGCTCATAATACAAGCAATAAATTGGTATATTACAGAACAATTGAGGTTGGAAGAGGTCGCTAGGATCATCTGGTCCAGCCACCACCCATCCCCACCGTGTTTGTGTGTCCCCTCAGCTGAAAAACAGCCGCCATGCTGCTGCCCACCGCACTGCGCTCCCTCTGTTGTCGGAGCTGAGAGCGGTGGTGCACGAACCCATCGGCCCACATCTCGAGATTGCTTTCACCCGAAAGCACAGAGCAAACAGTGAGGTCTGGAGCAAAGCCGTGGCGGTGCTGACGTGACCTGACTGCACCCGACGGCACCCAAATGGGCCATAAATGGTGCATAGCAGGGAGCCGTGACCCAGCAGGCGAGGAGTGGGTTCAGTAATAGGGTCGATGCAGGTTCAATGACCCATCAGCAACGCTGAGGGCTGCTGCTTGGCTGCAGCACACCTGAGGCGCTTCGGTGCCGCTTTCCCAGTGCCTGTTTGCGACCCTTCGCTCTTTCCTTCCATCCCTGCAGTCATCCTGACGGATGAGGAGGTGCAGAGGAAGCGTGAGATGATCCTGAAGCGCAAAGAGGAGGAAGCGCTGAAGGAGAGCCTGAAGCCCAAGCTGTCGGAGGAGCAGCAGAAAGTCATTGACATCCTCCTCGAGGCCCACCACAAAACTTTCGACACCACTTACTCCGACTTCAACAAGTTTCGGGTACGTTGGGGGGCACGACAGCCCCGATTCCCACCTCAGCACCAACAGCTCCAAGAAACTTCATCAGTTTCATCCCAATAAAACCCGGTGCAAATATCTCGGTGCTCCCCTCAAGCTTGCTCTCCCAGCCCCATTCCTCTCACCCCGCTCTCTCTTCCAGCCCCCTGTGAGAAACAAAGTCAGCAGCAGTACAGCAACGCAATCCTCCTGTGTGGTGTCCCAGGATTTCTCCTCGGAGGACCCCAATGATGTTTTTGGCTCTGATGCCTTCGGTGCATTCCCAGGTACTGGACTCAGCTCTCTGTGTGGCATTTCAGGCATCCTTATGCTATGGAAGCAAAAGGGGAAGAGATTTTTCTAAGCTTGGCCAAGAACGAAAAAGTTGTCTCAGCTCTCCTAGGGAATGCATTTGACTCTAAGAGTCTCCTGAAGGTGTTTAGAAGGCTCCTGATGAGCTGAGAGCATGAAGTGCTTGGCTGCATCGGGACCATGAGTTGGGTTGCCGCTGCTCTGCCTGCAGTTAGACCTAAACTAACAATCCCACAGCTGATGTGACCAAAGCGCTCTCCCAGCCCAAGACAAAGACCTCCCAGCACAACAGGCACCGTCCCTGCTTCGGGCTGACACCCCTCCCTGTTACATCTCACCCCCATGGACCACCTCCCTCTTTCCAGAGCCCATGGAGCCCCAGATGTTTTCCAACCTGGATCTTTCCGAGGAGAGCGATGAGACCCCCTCCATGAACATCGAGCTGCCCCAGCTCCCCATGCTCCCACACTTGGCTGACCTGGTCAGCTACAGCATACAGAAGGTGATCGGCTTCGCCAAAATGATCCCCGGATTCAGGTGAGATGTTGTCCCCACGCCAGGTGCCCACGATGGTTTTATGCTCCCAGCAATTCAGTCCCAGCTTCCACAGTCATTTTTCTCCACTTCTCTCTGCCCCCTTCCCAGCTCTGTTCTTACCTTCTTGTTCTCTTTCCCTCTCCTTTCCTGGGGTTATTCCTCTTTAATCTTGAGCTGGATTCACCCTGGCCACATAAACAAAATGTCTGAGCTCCTGAGAAAGATGCTAAGATGAGTGGTGCTCATCTTGCTTGTGTGTCCTGAGATCCCATTTAACACCAGCCCAGCAAGAGTCAGCCTGGAGCCCAGGGCACTGGGTGCTGCCACTCGATACACGGAGCTGCAGAAATACCCACTGCTTAATTACCCAGAAATTCAGGGTGAGGGAGAAGCCGGATCGTGCCTCTGGTTGTGGACATCTCCTCATTCCCATCCGCAGGGATCTGACTGCAGAGGACCAGATTGCCCTGCTGAAATCCAGCGCCATTGAGGTGATCATGCTGCGCTCCAACCAGTCCTTCACCTTGGAGGACATGTCGTGGACCTGTGGAAGCAATGACTTCAAGTACAAAGTCAGCGATGTCACCCAAGGTAAAGGTGCTGCCAGGCTGAGGGCTCAAAGGTAGCGCCCCAGCCTGAAATTCAGGTGTAAGAAAACCTTACTGAGTAAACTGCAGATATTCAGGTGGATCTTAAACATCTGCCAGCACCTGGGGAAGAGCCTTGGAGTTACCCTGGGATGCTGAGATCCTTGGTGCAAGGCCTTGGAGTAAC